AGAGTTCTTCCGCAATTAACCCCTGGGCTGAGTCTAGACTGCATCCCTTTTCCGTAAAAGGGATGCAAACTAGACACATCGCAATTGGAAATGAAGCGGGGATTTAAATCCCCCCTGCTTCATTTGCATAAACATGGCTGCCGCTTTTTTCTGGCTCGGAGCTTTGCCAGAAAAAAGCACCTGTCTAGACGCAGAACTTTTGGAAATAAAGCCTTTTCCGAAAGATCCCTTATTCCTTATTTTCCGAAAGTCTAAACTGGCGCTTTTTTTCCGGCAAAGCTCCGAGACAGAAAAAAGTGGCAGCCATGTTTATGCAAATGAAGCGGGCGGGATTTAAATCCCCGCTTCATTTGCAATTGAGATGTGTCTAATTTGCATTCTTTTTACGGAAAAGGGATGCAGTCTAGACACAGCCCTGCAGTGTGACATGGCTCCCTGTTTCTTTGTTCCGGTGAAGAAATAGGGCTCACGGTCCAAAATTCCAAGGAAGTGGTTTGGCAATGAAGGTTTGGAGCAAGGAAATTAGTTACAAAAGGCAAAGTTTCATGAGAGCCGTTTTCAAGTACCTTAAAGGGTGTTACAAGGAGGAGAGAGAAAAATTGTTCTTCTTGGCCTATTAGGACAGGACAAGAAGCAATGGGCTTAAATTGCAGCAAGAAAGGTTTAGGTTGGACATTAGGAAAAAATCCCTGCCAGTGAAACACTGGAATAAATTGCCTAGGGAGCTCGTGGAATCTCCATCTCTGGAGATATTTAAGAGCAGGTTGGATGGACTTCTATCAGGGATGGTCTATATGGTGCTTGGTCCTGCTGTGAAGGGAGGGGAATGGACTCGATGACCTCTCAAGGTCCCTTCCACTTCTAGTCTTTTAGTTTTTTTATGAAAGGGGCCTCTAAATTTGGGATACTCCCTTTTCCTCCCTAACTGAGGTACCTCCAAAACCAATTTCCAGCCACACTCACTGACCTAAGACCTAACTTACCACTAATACCATGCAATGAGGCCTCAAAGTCCATACCCAGCCTTTTCTTCTAGACATCTTCAACTGAGGTCAGTGAGCAAACTCGAAGGGCCTTCTTCATGCCTCAGGCAACCCTTCATCAGGATTCACTTGCTGAAACCTTCACCGAGAGAATAACGTTTGAGGTGTATATGCAAATTATAGCACTTATGCAACCCAATATTATATTGATGGAATTTTGGTGCTTCCTTTCCTTTTCTATGGTTAAATCTACTATATATTTTAGAGAGTGTGCTGTTTTTATCAATAACTCCTCTCACACAGTACATTCTTCGACCACCAAATTCAGTATATAGCTTCGTCTTATCGTAACTGAAAGGAACATAAGGGTTTGGTTGTGCCAGGAAAACGGGATGTACCTAGAATGGGACTGTTCTCCTAAAACCATACAGAAAGGAGACAGACTCACCAAATCAAGGACAGTCCTCAAACTGGACATAACTGAGGAAATGCTGAAAGAGGAGGAACCAAGATTGAGACAGAAAAATAGGATATCCCTGGAACAGGAGTGCTTCTCAATAAGTCTTACATACAATGGAGACATTTGGAGTAAGTAGTTAGTCAAGGTTGGTCCTACTTTGGGCAGGAGGTTGGACCTGATGACTTCCTGAGGTCTCTTCCAATTCAGTGTTTCTGTGATTCTAGGGTGCTGTTTTGATGCAGCTAAATCAGTGTTTAAGATTTGTTATTGGAGACCAAATTGTCTAGAGTTCTTTTTTTGTTAAAACATAGTGACTCATAAAAGTTTACAGGGGGAAGAAAAAAATACAGTGGATGGAATTCCTATTTTAAAAACACGTACTAAACATTAGGTGGAAAAGTTGTTACAATCCCTTTTTAAAGTATTCCAAAATAAAAATTAATGTAATCAAAATAACAGTGTTATTTATTAATATATATATAAAAGAAATTATTTAAATAAAGCATGCACATTTTCCTTGTACATTTGTATTTTACAAAAAAAAAAAGACCCACCCTTTACTTGAGTTAAGGATCCGATCAATATTGGGTAAATTTGCTAATTAGAAATACACAGTGAACTTCCACATATATTCTGCATATTAATCCAGCAAAGACAATATAAAAACAAGCTGCTGGAAGCACAACCTTTATACATTAAAATTAAAAAGGACTGTTTAATATGGAATCTATAGGTACCAGTATATTCAGACAGAAATACATGGGTGGGGAAAAAATGCTTTCTCCTGGAAAATGCAGAAGGACTATATATTTGAACTTAACTTAGGGTATGTCTAAACTGCAAAGGAACACGTCTGCTCTTGTGAAATATTTTTTCGGAAAAGCAGACACATTTTTTTCAGCATCACTGTAAATCTCATTTTAAGAGGAAGCAGGGAAGTTCCAAAAGGGTTTTTTCCCGTCCTTTGGCCCAGTGTAGACGGGCCAAATGTCGGAAAAGCCTCTTCTGAAAAAAGAAGCAGAAAAAGCTACGCAATTGTGGTTTGCAATGTGAGTATCTTTTCCCAGAAGAACTGTGTAGTCTAGACACAGCCTTAAAGAGGATTTTTGCAAACTTAATGTGGAAAGTTTCTTCAAACTGATTTAGGTGAGTCACATTTGACTTCTCCTTTGAGGCTTTGTTTGAGCATTAACTCTTGTTCAGATTCACAAGAGATTCATGATCTCTTTATAGAAGGCTACTATATATGAAGAGGAGTGAGTCATAAGTCAGTCTTGGTGTTTAAATTATAAATTGGTCCATTATATTAGATATTTAAGTGAAAGGCGAGAATCCTTCTCTTACTCATTTGCTTGAGTTTTTGATTGTTCATAAGGGGCGCTTCTAACTCAAGCTTTCTGACCTTTTTAGGCTGGTATTTCAAAGTTTCTAAGGTAGGTACCTACTGCAATGCAACAAGTTGACTGATGAATCCCTATATATGCTTTCGAAAATGGAGCTCAGTTGAACTTCTGTGTTTTGTTTTAATTTTTGTTCCTTGTCCAAATGCTTTTTGCAGGAATATGCATTTCTACCGCTGCCATTACGAGCAATGAATACACTGTTGAAAATGGAACTAAGATGAATTTCTGGGTTTTGCTTTAATTTTTGTTCTTTGCCCAAAAGCTTTTTATAGGACAACACATGTTCAGCACTGCTTTGGGGAATATTGGATCAAGTTCTGATCTCCAATTTGATGAATGAAAATCTGATGTAAATTCACATCCATTAGTGGAGTTCCTTTGAATTTAATTGTCATTGACATTAATGTCCATTGTGATATAATACAGACGCTCCCCAAGTTACGAACGAGTTACGGACCAACACTTGGTCCGTAACTCGAAGTATTCATAACTTGGATCCCATAGAGTTACATGGCGACTGCGCTGTTCGTAACTTGGATCGCCATTCTTAACTCGGATCCGCATTTACGATCGCTTTGGTCCTAAGTGTGGATGGTCGTAAGTGGAGCTGGTCATAACTCGGGGAGTGGCTGTATTGTAATGCTGATTTTTGATACACAAGAGTCACCGCTTTTAGTTTGTGCCGCAAAAGTTGGCAATTGAATTCAAAATATAATGCAAAGGGTGTGGTTTCTTTAAATGACTGTAATATGCTTAGGGGCATCATGAAAGTTCCTTCAATGGAGGTATTTAAATGAAGGCTGAACAGCCATCTGTCTTAGATGTTTAGACCCAACTAATCATGTACGTTGGCCAGGGAATGTGGGAGGGAAACTAGATGAGCGATGAGGTCCCCTCAAACTCTATCATTCTATTATTCTAACTTACTCTACTACGATCTCATGCATAGTTCAATTTCTTGGCCCCGATAATTTACTGTGGGAGTGAGAGAGAAATTGACAAACAGTAAAGCAGCAATTAGGACTATAAGATCGGAGAGGTCCAAAGACAATAAATGGAGGCTTAACAGTGGTGCAGTAGGGAAGACCCTCCGTATAATTTTGTAGTGAATGGTTCCCCGCTGCTTTACGCAACTTTTATACCAATGTCATTCTACTCATTTGATAATCCACCTTCTCCATCCCCATTGACAGCAATGGAGTTATAGCTAATTGACAGTGATGTTAGTTAAAGAGGCATCAAACCTTTCATTTTGTCCACCTTGATTCCACTTAAACATGCATATTATTATGTTATTTTTTTGTATATTGTGTGCGGTGTGTACATACTGAACACCTCCCAGGTTGCAACAGGTGAAATTTGTGAAAAGAGTTTGCAAAGTGCAGTCTTGGTTTCTAAGACGACTGGCGTAGGAAAGATTGTGAAGATCATATTGTGAATTCCTATGTCTTGCGGTTTTTGTGAACAGTCCAAAAGTCTTTGTGCACCTGTAGTTGAGAGCATCAGAACAGTTCTGCCGACCCTTCTATGCTCAAATGTTGGGAGAATATAGATCCAGTTGCTGAGGTAGATTATTGTGCTAATGTATTCTAAACTTAGGTTCATTTGTTTCTATGATGGGTTAAATACTTACTGTACCTCGTCAAGAGGATCTATCTGTCTGTCTGTCTGTCCCTGTACTGACCTGTACATCCATCCATCCATCCATCCATCCATCCATCCATCCCCATACTCACCTGTCCGTCCATCCGTCCATCCATTCATCCCTCCCTCCCCATACTCACCTGTCTGTCCATGTGTCCATCCTCATACTCACTTATCCATCCATCCATCCATCCATCCATCCATCCATCCCCATACTCACCTGTCCGTCCATCCGTCCATCCATTCATCCCTCCCTCCCCATACTCACCTGTTTGTCCATCCATCCATCCACCCATCCCTCCCCATACTCACCTGTCCATCCATCTATACCAATACTCACTTCTCCATCCATCCATCCACTCACCTACCTATTTACCTACCAACTTACCTGTTTGGCTAGCTAGCTATATTGCTCTGTCTAGTTGTTTCTTTTGCCATATTGCTGTAGTTTCTCATGCAATTCCTGACCAAAACGTTCATCTTCCTTGCTGCAGAAGGAGAACTCAAGCCATGGGACCCGGTAACCACACCAGGGTGACGGATTTCATCCTGCAGGGGCTCTTGGAACATTCGCACCACCAGGGGCTATTCTTTGCTCTGTTCCTGGGCCTCTATACCACTGTCCTCCTGAGTAATTCTCTGATCATTGTGGCTATTGTCCTCCACCCACCTCTCCACACCCCCATGTATTATTTCATCACCAATTTGGCTCTGGTTGACATTTTGTGTACGTCCTCGGTTCTACCGAAAATGCTGGAACACCTGATGCAGGAGAAGAAAACCATCTCCTTTGGTGGCTGCATCACCCAACTCTTTGTCTTCACGGCATCGCTGGGGACGGAGCTTCTTCTACTCACTGTCATGTCGTATGACCGCTATGTTGCCATTTGCCACCCCTTGCACTATGTCAAACTCATGAGGAAGGAGATTTGCCTCTGTTTAGCGGCTGTTGCCTGGGCGATTGGCACTGGCAGTTCCTTCATCAACATCTTGCTTGTGCTGCGCCTGGATTTTTGTAGATCCCGCCTCATCCAGCATTTCTTCTGTGAGTTTCCCACCGTGCTGGCCCTGTCCTGCAGCTCCACCTACCTCAACGAGGTCATGATGTTCCTGGCTCACATCTACAGCTTCATCATCATCACCATCTTGAAAATCCAGAGCACCAAAGGGAAGCAGAGAGCCTTCTCCACCTGCTCTTCCCACCTGCTAGTGGTCACCTTGTACTACTCCACCCTCATCTACATCTACATCCGGCCGACCTCCAGTCACTCACGGGCTAAGGACAAGATAGTGGCCGTTCTGTACACCCTAGTGACGCCCATCTTGAACCCTCTAATATACAGTCTACGCAACAATGAAGTCAAAGTGGCCTTCAGGAAAATCCTTCCCTTCATCAGAAAATAGCATTTTTTTCCAACAGTGAACCCAATTCTTATCTTCCTTGTTTCTGCTAAGTCAGGCCCACAGGTGGTGTGAATTAATGCACAGTGATAGACTTGGAGAGACATAAATTTACCCTATCGTTCTTCCATGTCACTGTAACGACAATGATTTGCACCCTGGACAAATCTGTCATACTGACAGCAGTAGGATGGTGCCAATTTACATTAGTTTTGGACAGAAACTGTTGGAATGCATTGGTCATGCTAGCTGGGAAAAGTCATGTGGAGTCAGAATTTAAAAGATATTGGGACATTCTGTGGGATTTTCAAAAGCATGTAGGCACCTAAAACGTATTTTTAATGTATATTAAGTGACCTGGAAAAATTCTTTTGATGCTTTAATAGAAATAAATATTTGTCCCATGGTGTAGCCCTATACCTCACATGCAGTATTACTGGTCATAGAATCACAGAATAATAGGACTGGAAGGGACCTCAAGAGGTCATCGAGTCCAGCCCCCCACCCTCAAGGCAGGACCAAGCTCCGTCTACACCATCCCTGACAGATGTCTATCTATCTAACCTGTTCTTAAATATCTCCAGAGAGGGAGAATCCACCACCTCCAGAGAGGGAGATTCTACCACACTTTCCACAGTGTTCTGTTTTCTGCCTCAGGCTATATCTAGACTTCAGGCTTCTTTCAGAAGAACCTTTTTTCAGATGAGATCATCCAAAAAATCTTCTTCCAATAGAAAGCGTCCACACACAAAAGCGCATTGAAAAAGCGATCTGCTTTTTTGAAAAATAGCAGCCAGACTGAATCGACACTCTCTCCCAAGTCAGCTGTGATGTCTATGGCCTCCAGAGCACCTGTGCTTTTTCCTCTTTCTTCTTCTTGCAAAAGAACTCCCTTTTCCTGTCCGCACATGCCTTTTCCAAAAGAGCTCATTCGGAAAAAGACTTCTTCCTCGTAGAAAGAGGATTACCAATGCTGGAAAAAAAAACTGTTCTTTCGATTTACCTTCAGAAGAATACAATTGCAGTATGGATGTAACTCAGGATGTAACTCACGTTTTGTCGGAAAACCGGCTGTTTTTCCAACAAAACTCTGCAGTGTGGACATACCCTGAATGAGTAAATATGATACCAAAAAATTCAAATTTTCTTTCTCTCTGATCCTTATTGTCTTATGAGACAGTAACCCCTACCAAATCTTGCAAACACATATCTCTGAGGGTCTGCCAGTCTCCACTCCATGTGGTGTTGTTGTGATATTACTGGGAAAAAACAAACATCATTCTGGGATGCATTAACAGAAGAGGTGTGAGTAACACATGGGAAGTAATTCTTCTCTACTGTGTACTGATCAGTTCCCAATGGGAGCATTGCATCCAGTTTTGGGCAGCACATTTCAGGAAAGAAGTGGAGAAACTGGAGAAGGTCCAGAGAAGAGCTAAGAAAATGATGAAAGGTCTAGACAACATGACTTATGAAGGAAGACTGAGGGTACGTCTACCTCATTGCAGGAGGAATACCAGCTAATTCGAGTTAGGGCTTTAAATCGGAATCCTGTTTCACTGCCGTGTGTAGATGCGGGCAGTTACTTTGGGCTAGTCGATTTCTAAAATGGCGACCAGCCAGGAACATGAAAATCAAGCATGGGATATTTAAGTCCCGGGCTTGATTTGTAATTTCGGTCACCCTCATTAGCCTCCCTAGCTCGATCTACGGGGCTAGTGTAGACGTACCCTGAAAGAATTGGGCTTGTTTTGTTTGGAAAGGAGAAGACATAGAGGGGACGTGATAGTGGTTTTCAGATATGTAAAAGAGTCTTACAAGGAGGAGGGAGAAAAAATTGTTCTCCTTGACCTCTGAGGATAGGACAAGAAGCAACAGGCTTCTTAAACTGCAGCAAGGGAGGTTTAGGTTGGACATTAGGAAAAACTTCCTACCAGTCAGGATGGTTAAACACTGGAATGAGTTGCCTAGGGAGGTGGTGGAGACTTCATCACTGGAGACAAAACTTCTGTCGACAAAACCCTGTAGTCTAGATGTACCCCAATTGTGGCCTCACCAGTGCTAAATATAGGGGAATAATCACTTCTCTAGATGTGCTGGCAATGCGTCTCCTAATGCACCCCATAATGCCGTTGGCCTTCCTGCCTTCTTGCCAGGCACAGAACGGCATGGAAACAGCCCCCCCTCCCCGCCATATCCTGCGCTAAGGGGTCACAGGCGAGACACCTGCCAGCTCCTCTATGGGGGATTTTGTGTGGAGACCAACAAGCTCTGAGCCCAAGTGAGACAGGCTGGACAACCTCTGCTTTCCGCTGGCCAGGGGATTGAGTGATGAGATGGGGCCCTGGGTGCCTGAAAGCAGCAGGCCCATGTCCGGAAGCCAAAATGTGGTTGCCGAGGCAACCTGGGCAGCGAACAGTGAGGTGCCGAGTTAGGCCCCTCAGGGGTAGGTGGTCCCTCAGAGGGGTTGTGTGGCTCCCACGGGGAGCCTAAATATGGGATTTAAGAACTGACATCCCAAAGTGGGCCAAGGTGTTGCTCAGAGTCCGGCAGAATCTGGCTTCAAGCTCTTAAGATGCCTCTCCCTTTGGGGTGTCATTCACCCACCCCTGGCCTCCTGACGCCAATGAAGTCCCTCTGAAGACCTTCTCTGGAGCTTAGTTGGTGTCAGTAGAAAGTCTGCTGGGGGGAATATTGTCCTTAGAGAACCAAGGCCATAGGAAAACATAGAAGAACTAAAAAAGAGCCACCGTAGCTTTAAAAAAACATGTACAAGAAGCAGAGAGAGATAAAGAGACATCTTTTAAAAAATGGAAGTCAAATCCTAGCGGAGAGGAAGTTCTTCTTCACACGGCGCATTGTCAATCTGTGGAACTCCTTGCCTGAGGAGGTTCTGAAGGCTAGGACTATTAAGGGTACGTCTAGAGTACCGGGTTTTGTCGACAGAAGTTTTGTTGACAGTATCTGTTGACAAAACTTCTGTCGACAAAGAGCGTCCAGACACATTGAGTTCTGTCGACAAAGCAAGCTGCTTTGTCAACAGAACCCTGTAGTCTAGACGCAACCCTACAGGTAATAGCACCTTTTGTCGACAGAACTCATGCCACGAGGAGTAACGGTAGTTCGAACTAGGAAGCCTAGTTCGAACTACCTAGTTCGTGCCGCGTGTAGCCGCGCGGCACGGGGTTCGAACGAGCGGGGATTTAAAAATGGTGGAGCCCCGCTTATGCAAATGAAGCCCGGGAAATTCAAATCCCGGGCTTCATTTGCAAGTGCGGTATGCCTACATTACCCTCCTAGTTCGAATTAGGAGGGTAGTGTAGACATACCCGGTGTGTCTAGACTACATGTCTAAACTATTTTGTTGACTGTATGGGTGTGTCTAGACTACATGTCTAGACTACTTTGTTGACAGTATGGGTGTGTCTAGACTACATGTCTAGACTACTTTGTTGACAGTATGGGTGTGTCTAGACTACATGTCTAGACTACTTTGTTGACAGTATGGGTGTGTCTAGACTACATGTCTAGACTACTTTGTTGACAGTATGGGTGTGTCTAGACTACATGTCTAGACTACTTTGTTGACAGTATGGGTGTGTCTAGACTACATGTCTAAACTATTTTGTTGACTGTATGGGTGTGTCTAGACTACATGTCTAGACTACTTTGTTGACAGTATGGGTGTGTCTAGACTACATGTCTAGACTACTTTGTTGACAGTATGGGTGTGTCTAGACTACATGTCTAGACTACTTTGTTGACAGTATGGGTGTGTCTAGACTACATGTCTAGACTACTTTGTTGACAGTATGGGTGTGTCTAGACTACATGGCTCCCCCGATGGAGCCATGTAGTCTAGACATACCCTATCTGTCAACAAAACTTCTGTTTACAAAAGCCTGTAGTCTAGACATACCCAGGGAGGGGGATGCACAAGTATTTGTGGTGGACAAAAAGTAACCAAACCTAACAGCCACAGTCTACTCCCCAGAACCTTAACTGCCAGGGCAGTGAAACACTGGAATAAATTGCCTAGGGAGGTTGTGGAATCTCCATCATTTAAGAGCAGGTTGGACAGACACCTGTCAGGAATGCTCTAGACCAGCGTTTCTCAACCAGTGGTACGCAAATCTTTAGGGGTATTTGAGAGGAGTCTGGGGGCTACGTCCACACAACTGAAATTTTGAAAAAACTGAATTTTGGTTTTATGTTTTATTATTTTTCTACTTTTTACTCCCAAAACTTTCATCACCGACCCAGCTACAATTAAGCTGTTGAAACAATTGTGTTGCAATGGTAGAAAAAAATGGTGTGTCTTTGAAAACTGTAGGTCCTGGGAGTTCTTATGCTATTTTTTTAAAAAGGGGTACTTTTTAAAAAAAAGGTTGAGAAACACTGGGCCCAGAACAGATGTATTATGATAAGATCTAATTTTTGGATCGAAATAATGACTCCAGTTTTCCGCTGGTGTGGCTGGCGTAGTGTTTTTCACTTCATTGGCGCTTCTGTGATTTACAGTCATGCGGGGATCTGAAAACGAATCAATAAGCAAAATAAGGCAAAGTGTAGCGCTCTTTCTAGAACTGCAGTGTAAAGTGCTCCAGTACAGGGTTAACTTGTTAAACCAGCTACACGTCCCAGGGGAAACCAGAACGAATTTACACTCCCTAGAAACCATCAACTCTCGGTCTCACTGCCCGAACATCGACAAAAAGGGTTTTACCTTCCAACAGGGGAGGGGCTGTGACGTGAACCATATAGTACAATTCGATATAAATGTGATCTGCTCCCATGTAGCAACTGACCGATCAGGATAAAAACTGGAGTACCCAATGTGTTTACTCACTCTGCTTGGGAGACAGAGAGGGAGGGGCAGAAGGAAAGTGAGATATTATAGAGAGAAAGAAAGAAGACATGCTGGATGGATGGATGGATGGATGGATGGATGGATGGATGGATGGATGGAGAAAAGAGATAGAGAAAGAAAAAGAGAAAGATAGAGATAGAGAAAGAGAGAAAGATACAGAGGGTGTATGGGGTTAGACAGATAGATAGAAAAGAGATAGAGAAAGAGAAAGAGAAAGAGAAAGATAGAGATAGAGAAAGAGAGATACAGAGGGTGTATGGGGTTAGACAGATAGATAGATCCAATCCAAGCCCTAACCTAATTATCAGGAATATTAAGGTGGACTGGAAAGACAATCTTGAACAATAACATAGCAATGGAAACATTCATGCGGAGGAGTGGCACAGCCAACACAGATCAAACTCTTGTCTTTCCACTGACTTCAGCGACCTTCCGATCACGTCTTGAGTGAGATGCTCTGTCTGCCGGTCTCCGATTCATTGTGGCTGAGACGAGGTCAAAACCCCAAGCGTCTGGTAGGCTTTGCACTCCAGGACTGGGATATCCAGTCTAGCAACAGCCAAGAGAAAGCAGAAAGAGAGGACGGACTCTTCTGGTGAGTAGACATCTTCCAAGCCAAGTAATCTGGGAAGTAAATGGGGTTGGTTCCCGAGTGGGTGTAAATCAAAGCTGTTCTCTTGAATGGAAGAATCATAGAATCACAGCATCATAGAGTCACAGAATCCGAGAACGGAAAGGGACCTCGGTAGGTCATCGAGTCCAGTCCCCTGTCCTCATGGAAGGACCACCCACCATGTAGACCAATCCTGATAGACGTCCATCCATCCAAAGATCTGAATAGCTGGTTGTGCCCTGCCTAGACTATTGTGTCAAAATATATACTTGAGTGCCACTCAATGGATGGAAAATGTAAACGTTACAATTTGGTTGCATCTTACATACATTTTATGTAGCGTAGATCACTAGACACGAGGCAAAGCAGTGTAGAATCGGACCTAGCCACTTCTAGAGAAGAAGTAAGAATGAGGCTGGTTTGTCTACCTTGGACTTTCGGCCATGGATGTCAATAGCACCATGCAGACCTCGCTCTGAGCACACTAGCATTTTCGGCCAACTCAAAAGCAACTCTTCAAACAGGCAGTCCCCATACGGCCACCGTCCATATGAGAGGTAATAGCTGCAGATAGCCCCCAAATGTCACTGGCTTGCAACGTTTTTGTCTGCAGGTTTATTTTTGTTTTCTGTTTTACTTATTTTTATTAATGATTTTAATGGAGAAAAAAACAACCAAAAGCACCCCCTGAGAAACATTTTAACAAACAAGTAACATTTTGAATGTTTGTAGTGTGTTTAAATATTTCCGTCTGTCGGTCTGTGTCTATCTATCTATCTATCCCCACACACACCCTCTATCAATCTATCCCCACACACACTATCTATCTGTCTGTCTGTCTGTCTATCCCCACACCCCATCTATCTATCTATCTATCTATCTATCCCCATACACCACCTCTATCTATCTATCTATCTATCTATCCCCATACACCACCTCTATCTATCTATCTATCTATCTATCCCCATACACCACCTCTATCTATCTATCTATCTATCTATCCCCATACACCACCTCTATCTATCTATCTATCTATCTATCCCCATACACCACCTCTATCTATCTATCTATCTATCTATCTATCTATCTATCTATCTATCTATCTATCTATCTATCTATCTATCTATCTATCTATCTATCTATCTATCTATCTATCTATCTATCTATCTATCTATCTATCTATCTATCTATCTATCTATCTATCTATCTATCTATCTATCTATCTATCTATCTATCTATCTATCTATCTATCTATCTATCTATCTATCTATCTATCTATCTATCTATCTATCTATCTATCTATCTATCTATCTATCTATCTATCTATCTATCTATCTATCTATCTATCTATCTATCTATCTATCTATCTATCTATCTATCTATCTATCTATCTATCTATCTATCTATCTATCTATCTATCTATCTATCTATCTATCTATCTATCTATCTATCTATCTATCTATCTATCTATCTATCTATCTATCTATCTATCTATCTATCTATCTATCTATCTATCTATCTATCTATCTATCTATCTATCTATCTATCTATCTATCTATCTATCTATCTATCTATCTATCTATCTATCTATCTATCTATCTATCTATCTATCTATCTATCTATCTATCTATCTATCTATCTATCTATCTATCTATCTATCTATCTATCTATCTATCTATCTATCTATCTATCTATCTATCTATCTATCTATCTATCTATCTATCTATCTATCTATCTATCTATCTATCTATCTATCTATCTATCTATCTATCTATCTATCCCCACACACCACCTCTATCTATCTATCTATCTATCTATCTATCTATCCCCATACACCACATCTATCTATCCCCACGCCCTCGTGGTCGAGTAGCAAACATTGCTGGATTAGGTCTGAGGGGGAAGATGCGGCTGCAGATGGCCCAGGATTCTTCTGGGCTGGTTGGGGTCGGGGCTGCAATCGGCCAGGGAGTCATCTGGTCAAGGGCAGGGTTCTCAAGGTCTTTCTGGGCAGGGGATTTGTGGCCCTGGCCAAGGGAGGGACAGGGGGCCCATCGATTGTGTCCTGAGGCCCAGAATTCTTCTCTGCAGACCTCAATGCACCACCCACTTTGGCAAAGCTTGGCTTGACACGCTACTTTAGAAGGAGGGACCACACCCTGGTTTCCACCTTCCACATTGAACATCGGGAGCTGGAAGTGGGTGAAACACAACGTTATATCCCGCCCTCTGTGAGTGCCACTCCATGCATCTGATGACATGGTTTTGGCAACCACAATGAAGAGGGAGCTGGAGCACATGACCTACGAGGAGCGGCTGAGGGATTGGGGCTTGTTCAGTCTGCAGAAGAGAAGAGCGAGAGGGAATTCAGTCACAGCCCTCAACTACCTGGCGGGAGGTTCCAAAGATGCTGGAGAGAGGCTGGCCTCAGTGGTGACGGATGGCAGAACAAGGAGCAATGGTCTCAAGTTGCAGTGGGGGAGGTCTAGGATGGAGACAAGGAAAAACTATTTCCCTAGGCAGGTGGTGAAGTACTGGGCTGGGTTCCCTAGGGAGGGCGTAGAATCTCCATCCCTAGATCTTTTTAAGTTCCTGCTTGACAAGTCCCTGATCGGGATGATTGAGTTGGGTTGATCCTGCTTTGGGCAGAGAGGTTGGACTCGATGACTCCTGAGGTCCCTTCCACACCTCGGATTCTATGATTTCCTTAATAGTTTCCAGCTTCAGCACAGATCCTCTTTCAAAAGTGAGATCAGAAGAAGATATGCAAATTCTCACGGAATTTGCATATCCTCTTTCGAAAAAGAATGTCGGTTAGACGGACCCGTGGTGAGAAATATTCGAGAACAAGGAGTGGACCTCTGTGTAACTGAAGAAAATACTAATGTAAACCCTGATGTAATAAGAGAAACCTTATTTTCACGCCCCTCGGAGCATGGGATGTGAATATGGACATGGACACCGACACGGTGGCTTTGAAAAATCTCGTTTCGATTTTCTATGTCAGAGAATTTCCAAATACGGATACGATATCGATGAACCGTAATTTTCCCCCCTCTTTCTACAGGTGGCAGAATTCACCATATGTGAATGGAATTCCAAACTAATGTGACTGAGTTTTTTCTCATGGGATTTACTCATGACCCACACCTCCAGATTTTTCTCTTCCTGGTCTTTTTCATTATTTACCTAATCACGCTGGTGGGGAACATGGCGATCATGCTGGTGATAAGAGTAGACCCTCACCTCCACACGCCCATGTACTACTTCCTGTCCCATTTGTCGTTTATCGATCTCTGCTACTCCTCTACGGTTGTCCCCAAGATGTTGGCGAATTTCCCCGCAAAGCACAAAACCATTTCGGTCCACAGCTGCCTTGCCCAGATGTTCTTCATCCTCCTCTTAGCAGTGACGGAAATTTTCCTCCTCTCCGCCATGGCGTACGACCGGTACGCGGCCATATGTCACCCGTTGCGTTATGTGGGGACCATGAGCCCACGAGTCTGCAAACAGCTGGTAGGTGGCTCCTGGATAATGGGGCTCATGTATTCATTGGTCAACACGGTCCCTGTGTTGAAGTTGCACTTTTGTGGGCCCAATGAAATCCGCCATTTCAGCTGTGAGCTCCCTCCGCTCTTACACCTATCTTGCTCTACGACCTTCACCAATCAAGTCGCTCTTCTTTCTTCCGCGGTTATATTTGGTTTCAGCTCCTTCCTCCCCACCCTGGTCTCCTACATCTTCATCATCTCCGCCATCCTGCGGATACAGTCTGCAGAGGGCCGCCGTAAAGCCTTCTCCACCTGCAGCTCTCACCTCATTGTGGTGGGTTTATTGCATGGGACGGCGATTTTCCAGTACACGAAACCCAGCTCGGTTTCTTCACTGGTTGTAGAGCAATTTTTCTCCGTCCAGTACAGCATCCTGACCCCTATGTTAAACCCCATCATCTACAGCCTGAAAAACAAAGACGTGAAAAGAGCTGTGAGGAAAATACTGGTAAAAAATCCTCTTTACCTTAGATAAGAACATCAGAACGGCCAGACTGGGTCAGATCAAAGGTTCATCTAACTGTGTCCTGTCTTCCAACAGTGGCTAATACCAGGTGTCCCAGAGAAAGTGAAATGAAACTAATGGGCAGCAGGTTTAAAGCAAATAAAAGGAAGTTCTTCACAAAGCGCATAGTCAATCTGCGGAACTCCTTGCCTGAGGAGGTTGTGAAGGCCAGGACTATAACAGGGTTTTAAAGCGAACTAGATACATTCATAGAGGTTAGGTCCATTCATGGCTATTAGCCAGGATGGGTAAGGAATGGTGTCCCTAGCCTCTGTTTGTCAGAGGGTGGAGATGGATGGCAGGAGAGAGATGGCTTGATCATTATCTGTTTGGTTCACGCCCTCTGGGGCACCTGGCATTGGCCGCTGTGGGCAGACAGAGTATTGGGCTGGATGGACCTTTGGTCTGACCCAGTATGACCGTTCTTATGTTCTTATGCGTGAACAGAACAGGGATTCATCCACCAATCCATCCCCTTCCTAGCTTCTGACAAACAGAGGCTAGGGACAGCATTCCTACCCATCCATGCTAATGGCCATTGATGGACCTAACCACCGTGAACTTATGTATAATTTATTAATTGTGCACTTTGTCTTATTTTATGTTTGACTCATTTTTTTAGGGTAGCATCTATATTGTTGTACAGCCCCTGATGCTGGTGTTCAGCCACACCTCCTAAGAAAACTCCTCAGTAGAAGTGATAACACAATACAAAGTTTTCCCACCCAATACATAATGGCCAATCTGCTTCTTTTCATATCAGCCCACAGTTGAATCCTTTTGCTTTTTTTATATTATCAACAATTTTACCATGTCCATCGAGTAATAAGTCTGCGCCATTTCAATGACTTTTTTCCAGATGCTTTTGAAAATGTCCTTCTTTTTCTTTGCCCGTGGATGGTGATGACCATGATGTCTTTAGCTTCCCTAATCAATGTTCTACACTTTATAGCATCTAAGGATACATCTACATGCCATAGCTATTTCGAGATACCGGAGATATCCCAAAATAACTACCCCACGTCTATGCAAGCTTCCTGTTATTTCAATATGTGATTCTATGATTTAACTTCTTTTCAAAGAGCAGAATTTATGCAATTCGCATCAAATATATGATAGAAAGACTTTGGAAGAGAAGATAGATAGATAGATAGATAGATAGATAGATAGATAGATAGATAGATAGATAGATAGATAGATAGATAGATAGATAGATAGATAGATAGATAGATCATGTGCCCAGCCCCTGAATCTTTTTTGTTGCCCTCTGCTGGACCCTCTCCAATGCGTCCACGTCCTTTCCCAGAACTGGACACAATACTCCAGATGTGGTCTCCCCAGTGCCGATTAAAAGGGAATAATCACTTCTCTGGATCTGCTGGCAATTCTCCTCCTAACGCACCCTAATATGCCATTAGCATTAGACTCTCTCCAATTTGTCCACATCCTTGCTGCCGTGGGGGTGGGGTGGAGCAACTCTGGCCTGGCTGAAGGGTTGCAAATTAAAGAGCATTGGCAAATCTGCTGGAGCCATGGACCATTGTCCACCGGAAGCAGGCCTGTGCCTCATTGCGCATGAGGCATGGTGCAGCCAAAGGAGTCGTTCCTGCCAAGGAAATTCCCATCTCTCTCCTGGACAGAACTGAACTGTTGAGCTAGAAATTCCTCCAGAGCTACCGTCCCTTGGAGGAGGCTGTCCTTGGCTTCGAAGAGATCCGATACGCCCTGGGAATGCCTGTGCATTTGCCTTACACCCATATCTTACCATTGTGCTGGAATGCTGCCTTCTGGGCATGGGAGGGGTACTGGGTATTCTTAGACCCCATCCCATGACAGAGGATCTAAGCCAGGGTTGGGCAAGAGGTTCCCAGCGGGTTGGATCCGGCCTGCGGCTGCCTCGCTGGCTCCCTTAAGCCCAGCCCGGCGACCGCCACTTTAAATGGGGCTGCTGGATTCTGGGAGCGAGGTGGGAGGTTTTGTGCTGTGCCCCACCCCTCAGCAAAATCTCTCAGCTCCCATTGGCCCGTTTCCGACCAATAGCAGCTGAGAGATTTTGCTGGCGGTGGGGGCTGCCAATGAAGCCTCCTCCCTCCCTCCCACATCCCTTCACCCTGCTGGATCAGAGCCAGGTGGAGCAACTTGTGACCGCAGCCTTCAGGTTCCTGCAGGGCTGCTGGCTGGGAGCTGCTGAGGTAAGCTCTTCTCAGCCATAGTCTGCCTCTGGTACCCCCATCCTCTCTCCCCCCACCCAACTACCTGCCCCAGGTCATTGCCACGAATCATGAGCAGTGTGAATGGTTGGCATGAGTGAATTAACAGGAAGGGTGTGTCTAGACTACAGGGTTTTGTCAACAAAAGTGGACTTTTGTGGACAAAACTATACCTGCGTCCACACTGCCTTTGAGTTACGTCGACATAACATCCACAAAACTCAGCAGTTTTGTCAACATATGTAAACCTCATTCTACGAGGAATAACGCCTTTTGTTGACAGAGTTCTGTCGATAGAAGGCATTATTGCATCTACACTGTCCTTTGTGTCCACACTGTTATGTTGACCAACCGGCTTGCTTTGTCGACAGAACTGGATGTAGTCTAGACGCTCTTTGTCGACAGAAGCTTTGTCAACAGTATCTGTCGTCAAAACTTCTGTCGACAAGCTGAAGAGAGGCTGTACTATAGTTCGAGTCAGTGCCCCGAAGGATTATGACCTTGTTTACAACTTTGAGAGAAAGAACTGTGTGAAAGAAGAGACTGGGTGTGCCGAGGAGACAATACGGTACGGAAGGAGGTCACGTTCCCAGATAAGAAGAATTAACAAGGGCGAAAGCTGACCAAGGACATTCCGTTGCTTATCACGCGTGACGAGGCAAGCAGATTTCGGTGGTGCGAATGGCGTGCTTCACGATTGGTCGTGAACACACCAGTGAGAGGAGGGGGTGCCGCTAACAGATATCACCCCACCCAAACTGTGTACAACCAGTGGATAATATCCCACCTAACTGGCCACTGCAGAGGGGATATATACCACACCGTTTTGCCCCACAAGTTGGAGTCCATCAATTCGGCATATTGGGGTGACGTGCACGTCAGATTTCCACCTCAACCAAATTAATTAACGTTACCCGGGGTTTGGCCAGTGCCAGAGGGTGAGTGGTATGTGTGAATATGTTTGTGAGAATGTGTGTTACAATTGGATTAAGAATTAGGCTGCTAAAATGGGGTTAAGGATTAGACGGAGACTGTTAAATAATGTTGAATTACTAATTACTAGATATATATAGAATCAGAGAATCAGAGAATATTAGGACTGGAAGGGACCTCGAGAGGTCACCGAGTCCAGTCCCCTGCCCTCATGGCAGGACCAAATACTGTCTAGACCATCCCTGATAGACATTTATCTAACCTGCTCTTAAATATCTCCGGAGATGGAGATTCCACAACCTCCCTGGTCAATTTATTCCAGTGTTTGACCACCCTGACAGTTAGGAAATTTTTCCTAATGTTCAACCTAAACCTCCCTTCCACTGCAGTGTAAGCCCATTGCTTCTTGTTCTATCCTCAGAGGCCACGATGAACAAGTTTTCTCCCTCCTCCTTGTGACACCGTTTTAGATACCTGGAAACTGCTATCATGTCTCCCCTCAAATCTTCATTTTTCCAAACTAAACAAGCCCAGTTTTTTTCAGTCTTCCTTCTTAGCTCCTGTTCTCTAGACCTTTCATCATTCTTGTTGCTCTTCTCTGGACCCTCTCCAATTTCTGCACATCTTTCTTGAAATGTGGTGCCTAGAACTGGACACAATCCTCCACCTGAGGCCTAACCAGCGCAGAGCAGAGCGGAAGGATGACGTCTCGTGTCTTGCTCACGACATACCTGTGATATATATCTATATCTTTTAAAATTGCTCCTGAATTGCTTGCAATAAAACGTGTTAAAGGTATATTTGGGCCACTGTGGATTTTTTGTTCTGCGATGCTGAACAAATGCCCCGTCCTGTGACCTGATCAACCGTACAACATCGCCCTCTTGTGACACCTTCACCGAAACCCTCTGTACACCTTTCCCCCAGCTCACAACTCCCTCCCAGACTCTGCACCCCCTCCTAGAGTCCCTCTCTCAGGCCAGAATCCTCTCCTGCACCCATACCCCCTCCCTGACCCTGCACCCTAAGCCTCTGCCCCAGATCACAACCCCCTTCTTCACCCAAACTGCCTCTCTGACTCCACATTCCCTCCTGCACCTCAGTCCCCTATTTCAAGCTCTCTTCTGCACCCAGTCTCCATCCCAGACCTCAACCCCCCTCGGTAGAAATGTGGCCCGGACCACTTGCAAAATCTTGGAGTGCCCCTCACCTAAAAATTATTGCCCACCCCGATCTAAGCTCTTGTCATCATTGGCAGAGATCTCTACATTTTTTGGTTGTGAAAAATGTCAAGATGCAACTCTTACACCGTTCTGCCACGTCCTTTGGGGTTTTATTACTCAGAAGCTGAGAAATTCTCCTTCAAAATCAGCACCGAATCCCGTAGAGATGGACGATATCATCATCAGGATGATGGAGGTGACTTTCTCCAATGCTTGTGTGATGGCCATGAGACTGCAGAGACGGACGATATCGTCATCAGGATGATGGAGGTGACTTTTTCCAATGCTTGTGTGATGGCCATGAGACCAATATTCCTGGTCTCGATCAATAATTGCCCCGGAAGTAATCGACTGGATGAACCCAGTTTCAAGGTCGTTTCCATATCGTTGAGTTCATCGGCGTGTTTATCAACAGACATGCAATGGCGAATTCTCGCAGGAGGCTAGAGTCGGAGAGGGTCCTGGGGATTTTATCCCAGGGGTCACTGAACAGTGTAGAAAAGACCCGTCTCTTAGGGTCAGCTGCAGACAAGCTTCTGAGCCAGAGGTAAGTGAGTTGCTGAAAGAATGGGCTTGCTATTTTGGGGAAGGGTTGACTGTTCAGAGATATTTACGAGACCATTTGAGATGTTTTCCTGATTCACGTGTGCTTCATCTGGAGCCGTCCTCAACTCTGCCATCTCCAAGAGTGAACAATTTATCTCCGGGTCTTTCCTTTTCACCTAACGATTCCATGTAATTTACTGGTATCCATCTAACCTGTAGAACGGTCCCTCATCTCTCCTTCTCTCCATCTTCTCAAGGATACTGGGCATCCTGTATCCACGCTCACTAAACTTAGGGAAATTCAGAGGGGTAGCCGTGTTAGTCTGAAAGGCTATATCTATTGAAAGATGTACTGAAATTTCAAAATTTTTTGAGGAGTACAGGATCTTTCAGAAAAGGCTTTTCTTTTCAAAAGAACCATGTCCAGTTTGCGGTGTCACTTTCGAAATTCTATTTTTCGAAAAAACGCCCTGATGCGATTAGGCATATGAAGCACAGGAAATTCAAATGCTGGCTTCATTTGCAATTTTGATATCTCTAATTTACATCCCTCTTTTGAAAGAGGGATGTAGTCGAGACATAGCCTAACTGAAAAAACTTAAGGAATAATGAATAGTCTTGTTGCACCTTGAGGTACGTTTAGACTACAAGCTTTTGTTGACAAGCTTCTGTTGACAAAGAGCGTCTAGACTACAGCCAGTTCTGTCGACAAAGCAAGCCGCTTTGTTGTCATAACAGTGTGGATACAAAGGACAGTGTAGATGCAATAATGCCTTCTATTGACAGAACTCTGTCGACGAAAGGCGTTATTCCTCGTAGAATGAGGTTTACCACTGTCTATAAAACTGCTGAGTCCTGTCGATGTTATGTTGACAGAACTTGGCGGTAGTGTAGACACAGGTATACTTTTGTCGACAAAACCCTGTAGTCTAGACACACCGTTAGGTGTGTTTTGTCAACAGAACTGGCTGTAGTCTAGATGCTCTTTGTCGACAGAAGCTTTGTCGACAGTATCTGTCAACAAAGCCTCTGTCGACAAAAGCCTGTAGTCTAGATGTACCCTTAGAGTATGTCTAGACTACATGGTTTTGTCGACAAAACCGGACTTTTGTCAACAAAACTATACCTGAGTCTACACTGCCGCTGAGTTCTGTCGACATAACGTCGAGTGAACTCAGCAGTTTTGTCAATCACGGTAAACCTCATTCTAAGAGGAATAATGCCTTTTGTCGATAGAGTTCTGTCGACAGAAGGTGTTATTGAATCCACATTGTCCTTTGTGTCTACACTGTCATGTCAGCAAAGCGGCTTCATTTGTCAACAGAACTGGATGTAGTCTAGACGCTCTTTGTTGACAGAAGCTTTGTCGACAGTATCTGTCGACAAAACTTCTGTCAACAAAAACCCTGTAGTCTAGACATACCCCGAGAGACTAACAAAAAACGTTGATGGTATTGTGAGCTGTCATGGGCATAACCCACTTCTTCAGATGTGACTTTCCTTGTTGTGTTGAGTCTATACATTGAGGCTGTCATTTTCCAAGACATCTAACAGGTGTGAATCGACAGGATTGTCCCTCATCGAAGCCAGACTTGAAAGTTTAAATGAAAATAAATTGGTCAAGTTATGTTCATCAAATCCTAGGGTTGGAAGAGACCTCAGGACTCATCAAGTCCAGCCCCCTGCCCAAAGCAGGACCAACCCCAACTCAATCATCCCAGCCAGGGCTTGGTGAAGGTGGGACTTGAACATCTCTAGGGAAGGAGATTCCACCCCCTCCCTAGGGAACCCATCCAAGTGCTTCCCCAGCCTCCTAGGGAAATCGATTGTCCTCATCTCCAACCTAGACCCCGCCCACTGTAACTTGAGACCATTGCTCCTCGTTCTGCCTTCTCTGCCAACACCTGCCGTCTCCCACCACTGAGACCAGCCTCTCTCCATCCTCTTTGGACCCTCCCATCAGGTAGTTGAAGGTTGCTCTCAAATCCCCCCTCACTCTTCTCTTCTGCAGACTAAACAAGCCCAAATCCCTCAGCTTCTCCTCGTAGGTCATGTGCTCCAGCCCCAGAATCAGTTTGGTCACCTTCCGCTGGACCCTCTCCAATGCATCCACATCCTTTCTATAATGTTCGGCCCAGAATTCTTGTGGTGGTTTAAGAGGGAAACCAACCTAAATTAGCTCACAGTGAAATGCAAGAGAGGACAACACAAACCGTGCCCCTCAGCTGTGTGTTGCTTTAAAGGCTGCCTCGCTCCAGTGTTTTGTACCTTAGCAGTTTCATATCGCATGGTCCTGAGTGGCAGGAGACTGAAAGAGGTAGGGAAGTTGTGAGAAAGTTTGGGGGGAGGGGCTCTGTAATAGTGTATCTGGATCTGTGCACCTCACACTATAAGTGTTGCAACTGCATCACTGTTGTGTAGACACTGGCTACAGCACCAGGAAGGGTTTCTTGTTGTTGTTGAGAGACAGTGGATAAGATGACAGAACCCTCCACGGACCTAGCTGGGCTTGTACATGGCTTCGCTAAGTCCCCCAGAGGTGTGAATTTTTCACACCCCTGAACAATAGAGCTAAGTTCTACGGGAGGGATTTGAGCTTGTTTAGTCTGCAGAAGAGAAGAGTGAGGGAGATTTGAGAGCAGCCTTTGACTCCTTAAAATAATAGCCACCTGTGGGCTAGATGTCTATAAAATCATGACGGGTATGGATAGAGTGAATAAGGAAAAGTTATTTACTTGTTCCCGTCACGTAAGAACGAAAGGTCACTGAATGAAAGTAATAGGGAGCAAACAAACCAACACAGCAAACAAATGGGGTGTATTTTGTCCTTTAAAAATAAACCAAAGGCAGTATTTCTTCACACAATACACAGCCCAACCTGTGGAACTCCTTGCCTGAGGATGCTGTGAAGACCAGGACCTTAACACAGTTCAAAAAAGAGCTAGATAAATTCATGGAGGGAAGGTCCATCAATACTTATTATCCAGGATGGGTAGGAATGGTGTCCCTCGCCTCTGTTTGTCATTGGCTGGAAATGGATGACAAGTGAGAGATCACTTGATGGTTCCCTGATTTATTCACTTGCTCTGGGGCACCTGGTTTCAGCCGCTGGGGCAGACAGGACACTGGGCTACATGGGCCTCTGGTCTGATCCAGTCTGGTAGTTCTTATGTTCACTGAGAAAGATGAAAAGGGAAGAGGGATGTGTCTGATCTCCTACCACAGGGAAGCCCTGGAATCCCAGTTCATCCACAAATTCAATTCACATGCTAATGGACTCAATGGTGATACGGGCTGGTAGGAACTCTACCTACTTCATAACCACTGAAGGAGCTAACAGCTCTCTGAGTGGTATCCTTCCTGTTTTATCTATCTATCCTGTCAATCTATCTATTGACTTTGATTTGTATCTGCTTAGGTTTAAGTACCCATTCTCCAGATACTTAATGATGCTCTCTCTTCCACCCCCCTCCCTTTTTCTTTTTCTCCGCCCTCCCCTTCCCCTCTACTATTTCTTTCGAATTTTCATATCCCCAACTCTACTCCGGTCATCTGAAGAAGTGGGTTGTGCCCAGGAAAGCTCATGATACCATATACATATATGATAGAATCATAGAATACTAGGACTGGAAGGGACCTTGAGAGGTCAACGAGTCCAGAACCCTGCTCTCATGGCAGGACCCAGTACTGTCTAGACCATCCCTGATAGATGTTTATCTAACCTGCTCTTAAATATCTCCAAAGATGGGGATTCCACAACCTCCCTGGGCAATTTATTCCAGTGTTTGACCACCCTGACAGTTACAAACTTTTTCCTAATGTCCATCCTAAACCTCCCTTGCTGCAGTTTAAGCCCATTGCTTCTTGTTCTATCCTCAGAGGCCTAGATGAACAAGTTTTCTCCCTCCTCCTTATGACACCCTTTTAGATACCTGAAAACCTCTATCATGTCCCCCCCTCAGTCTTTCAGCCTTCCTTCATAGCTCATGTTCTCTAGACCTTTCATCATTCTTGTTGCTCTTCTCTGGACCCTCTCCAATTTCTCCACATTTTTCGTGAAATGTGGTGCCCAGAACTGGACACAATACTCCAACTGAGGCCTAACCAGCACACAGGCTGTGTCTACACTGGCAAGTTATTCCGGAAAATCAGACGCTTTTCCAGAAAAACTTGCCAGATGTCTACACTGGCCACTTGAATTTCCGGAAAAGCACTGACGATCTAATGTAAACTCATCCGTGCTTTTCCAGAAAAACTATGCTGCTCTCGTTCGGGCAAAAGTCTTCTTCTGGAAAACTGTTCTGGAAAAGGGCCAGTGTAGACAGCTGGGATTTGTTTTCCGCAAAAAAAACCCTGATCGCGAAAATGACTATCGGGGCTTTTTTGCGGAAAAGTGCGTCTAGATTGGCCACGGACACTTTTCCAGAAAAAGTGCTTTTCCGGAAAAGCATCCTGCCAATCTAGACGCGCTTTTCCGAAAATGCTTTTAACGGAAAACATTTCCGGAAACTCATGGCAATGTAGACATAGCCTTAATGTATCTCAGAATCATGTTTGCTTTTTTTGCAACAGCATCACACTGCTGGCTCATATTCAGCTTGTGGTCCGCTATAACCCCTAGATCCCTTTCTGCCGTGCTCCTTCCTAGACAGTCGCTTCCCATTCTCTATGGGTGAAACTGATTTTTCCTCCCTAAGTGGAGCACTTTGCATTTGTCCTTATTAAACTTCATCCTATTTTCCTCAGCCTTCCTTTTGTTAGTCTATAAAGTGCTACCAGACCATTTGTTGTTTTTTTCTATATAATTATGTCGTCTTAACCCCTAAGGAATGATAATCCATATGTGACCACATAGAGATGCAGACATGGAGGGGAACCTCACTGCCATCACAGAGTTCATCTTTCTCGGCTTCTTTGACCTCCAGGACCTGCGACCTCTTCTCTTCATCCTGGTCTTACTCATCTACCTCGTCACCGTGATAGGAAATAGTCTCATCGTCGCCGTCACGGTGGCGGACCTGGTGCTCCAAAGCCCGATGTATTTCTTCCTCAGGAATTTATCGGTCCTGGAGATCTGCTACACCTCGGCCGTCATCCCCAAGACCTTGTCCGACCTCCTCTCCGAGCGCCAAGCCATTTCCTTCCTGGGCTGTGCCGCCCAGATGTACTTCTTCCTCCTCTTCGGCAACTCGGAGTGCTGCCTGCTGGCCGTGATGTCTTACGACCGTTACGTGGCCATATGCCGCCCCTTGCGTTACTCCCTCACCATGAGCCGGAAAGTCACCGTTAGCTTGGCGGCGGCGGTGTGGATAGCAGAGAACATGGTGGCCCTTGAGCAAACGGTGGCCATCTTCACGTTGCCCTTCCATGGTCCAAACACAATTGAGCACTTTTTCTGCGACGTTATGCCCGTGCTCAAGCTGGCGAGCTCCGACACGTCCCTGAACGATATTATTAATGCCCTGCTCACCGTCGCATTCATCATAGTCCCCTTCCTCCTCATCATTGCCTCCTACGTCGGCATCCTCGCCGCCATCTTGAAGATGCGCTCAGGGGAGGGGAGGCACAAAGCTTTCTCCACCTGCTCCACACACCTCATCACGGTTACCTTGTTTTACGGCAGCTGCTTCATCACCTACATGAGGCCCAGTTCCAGCGGTTCTGTGGACACCAACCGAGCGATCGCCCTGTTCTACACCGTCGTGACGCCAATGTTCAACCCAATCATATACAGCCTGAGGAACAAAGATGTCAAGGAAGCGCTGAAGAAACTCCTGGGCTGGAGTAGGACATCTGAGTGCTAAGCAAATTAAGTGTATGTTGGTGGTTGTTGAGACACAGTAAACCTGTGGAACTCCTTGCCCCAGTATGTGGTGAAGACAAAAACTTTAACAGGGTTCAAAAAAGATGTAGATAGATTCATGGAGGGTAGGTCCATCAATACTTATTATCCAGGATGGGAAGGAATGGTGTCCCTAGCCTCTCTTTGACTAGAAACGGTGACAAGGGAGGGATCATGTGAGGATTACCTGTTGTGTTCCCTCCCTCTAGGGCATCTGGCATTGGCCATTGTTGGAAGACAGGATACTAGGCTAGATGGACCTTTGGTCTGACCCAGTATGGCCGTTCCTATGTTCATATGAAAGCCTCTCATGAAATGAGAGGAAGAGACCAAGTGGAAAAATGTCTACATAATGTCATACAAATATTAAACACAGTTTAATTTCCCTGTTCAGGTCTATACTGAGGTGTATGTCTACACAGCAACATTATTGCAAAATAACTAACGGTATTTTGAAATAATTTAGTCCGCGTCCACACTGCAGACAGTTATTTTGAAATAATATCGAACTCTTGTCAAGCCGGAGGACTTGTTATTCTGACTTCTGTAGCTCTCAGGCTGTGTCTAGACTGGCCAGTTTTTCCAGAAAATCAGCCGCTTTTCCGGAAAAACTTGCCAGCTGTCTACACTGGCCGCTTGAATTTCCGGAAAAGCACTGACGATCTCATATAAGATTGTCAGTGCTTTTCCGGAAATACTATGCTGCTCCCGTTCGGGCAAAAGTCTTTTTCTGAAAGACTTTTGCGCAAAAGGGCCAGTGTAGACAGCACAGTACTGTTTTCCGCAAAAAAGCCCCGATCACGAAAATGGCGATCGGGGCTTTTTTGCGGAAAGCACGTCTAGATTGGCCATGGACGCTTTTCCTCAAAAAGTGCTTTTGCGGAAAAGCATCCTGCCAATCTAGACGCGCTTTTCCTAAAATGCTTTTAACGGAAAACTTTTTGTTAAAAGCATTTCCGGAAAATCGTGCCAGTCTAGACGTAGCCTCATTGTACAAGGAGTAGAGGAAGTCGGAGGAAGCGCGCTGTATTTGAAAATAACTGCCTGCTGTGTAGACACTCCCAATTCCGAAATAAGCGTCGCTCAATTTTCATAGCTTATTTTGAGTGAAGCCCCATTGTGTAGACTCGCCCTGAATGCATAGAGTCCAATTAAAGAAGGGGTAAAGAGGGGGTTTTAAGGAAGTTAAGAAAGGTACACCAATAAATTTGGTGTTTCTAAGGATTGGGGATTGAACCTTTCTAGTCTGGCACCCTTGGGACTTGACCAATTCTGAACCAGAGAATCTTCTGGACTAAGGAGGTCAATATTGTCTAGCAACGTTACCAACACTTCCACTGTTTACTAGGCTGGTAGAGGACATCGAGGGGGATTGTGGGAAACTTGGCTACTCCCCTGAAATGTCGATATCTGGCTAACTCAAATCATTCTGGATGACAGAGGTTCCCAGACAAGAGAGTTCTGGACCAGAGAGGTTCAACCTGTATGAGTCTTAGAAGGGTAGCCATGTTTGTCTATATGTGAAAAACCAAACAAACTATGACGAGTCGTATGGCCTGTTACACATTTATTTGGGCATATGCTTTTGTGGATAAAAAACCACTTTGTCAGATGCATGGAGACAAGATGGTTTTTACCCGTGAAGGCGTGTGCCTAAATAAACCTCTTCGCGCTCGTCTACGCTTTGGAGATAATGGACTCTCCAGAGGTCGATCTTCTAGCGGTCGATGTGGCGGGTCTAGCGCTGACCTGCAAATTGAATGCTGGCGTTATGTTCTCCTCATTCTGTGAGTAATAAGTGTTGATGCTGGGGAAGCTCGGCTTAAGGTAGGCTGAATCCAGCTCTGCATTTTGTACACCTTGGATGGCAGACCTTAACCCGACCTGCCTGGTCTAGTGTAGACCAGGCCTTAGTCCTTAAGTTGCCACAAGATTTCTGGTTGTTTTTTTTTTTCAGGATTTTTAGTGATGATTCAGGCCTATTTCTTTACCTGAGATAGGGTTTTGGGTTTCGTTTCCCTGTATCCCTTTTGATAATTTGCTATACTCTGATATTTTTATGGACTTGAGGACCTCCTGAGATCTCTTCCAGCCCAAGGAAGCTATGGTGCTATGTTTACTCATATGTGTGAACAAAGATCAAAGCTCTTGAACTTCAAGAGCGGAGCTCTCGAACATCAGCCTTAATAGTGCAGCAAACTCCTCAGCCAGCTCTTTTAAAACTCTCGGAAGCAAACTTATCCAGACCGATGACATTTAAAATATAGAGTTTAGCACTGGAGTGGCAGGCACTTTCCAAAGCCAGGGCCAAGAAGAAGAGGCATGTTGCTTCTGCCCAGCCAGATGGGTGTGTTGGTGTAATTAGAAGAGATAAGGGATGGGTTAAAAGTGTCACAGGGTGTGGTGATAGTGTGATATAGAAGCACACACTGCTTGGCTTCTCTCTCAAGCCAAGGTCAAGATGGGGGGAGACGGTCTAAGAAACAGCAGGAGCCAAAGAAAAGCCCGTCCTCCATTCACTCCTTACCATGGGATAGAAAAGACAGGGCACAAAGTCCCCAGTCTCACTACCCCCCAAACGTGGGTGGCGGAGTGTGGGTGGAGTCGTCCCTGGCTGTGGGGGGTGCAATTCATTCACCAGGATTATCTGGCTGTCTCCCACTTAATAATTTCCCATCCCTTCATCAGAATAATACCTTGGTGCCTCTTCTGAAAAAAAGGTGGCTCTTAAGGTATGCAAATGAGGCTTGGCGATATTCCAAGCTTAGCCTCATTTGCATATTACTCGCGCAAGAAGCCGCGAGGGTAGACATAGCCTAGATGTGTGGGTTACATCTACATTACATAATAGCCCAAATTTAAAAGATGTTTAATATGTGACACAAACACTGGCCGTGTCCACACTCAGGGGTTCTTTCGAAAAAAGTACCCTTTTTTCGAAAGAACTTCCCCTGCATCCAGACTCAAGCCGCGTTCTTTCGAAATTATTTCGAAAGAACGCGGCTTTTCTTTCGATGGCGGTAAACCTCGTTTCACGAGGAAGAACGCCTTCCTTCGAAAGTTCCTCTTTCGAAGGAAGGCGTTCTTCAATGTAAAGAGGCCGTCTTCGAAAGAGAGCATCCAGACTCGCTGGGTGCTCTCTTTCGAAAAAGCGGCTTGCTTTTCAAAAGTACTGCTTGCAGTCTAGACGCTCTTTTTCGAAAGAGGCTTGCAGTCCAGACGTAGCCAAAGAAAGTGGGGATCAATGGTTCTCTGCAGGATGATTAGAGAATAAACACGAGACCCAGGAGCGGATGGGGGTAAAAAGAACTGCTTTGTTGCCTATCAATCACGTTTACCTCGGACATTCACACAAAGTCCGAGTGACAACAACCGAGTGTTAATCACACTCTTTGATTTATTTTAGTATGTTAATTCACATGTCTAGCACTACTTCTCCTAATGCTTCGTTTAGTCATGTTAACTCCTGTACAATGCATATTAATAAGCAAATAATGAATGCAATTATACCCGCCCCAATTACTACTTACAGAATTTCTATTTAAATCAACACATTCCTGAGCTACAAACTAACAGGTTACAAACATTACAAAGAATTTGACCCTGAAGATGTTATGCAGAGCCTATGGGGATAAGCAAGACACAACAAAACAGAGCAGTTCCATACTCATCTGGATTCCTAGGCGACAGAACAGAGAGAGAGAGAGAGAGCAAGGTTATATATCAAAACATAATACTGGTCTCAACTGGACCCTATCATCCCAAACTACAAATACAAAAGGAAAAGCATGCCCAAGGGTAATTCCCACTGTGGCTGAATTCTTAACCGCTAATACAAAAAGTCCATTCTTTCACCCCCCAACACATAGGACAACATGCCCAAGGGTAATTTCCACTGTGGATGAATTCTTAACCACTAATACAAAAAGTCCATTCCAAACCTATTAATTCTTTCACCCCCCAACACATAGGACATTAACGTCTGAAAAGGTTGTCATAGGGAGGAGACGGGAAAATTGTTCTCCTTGGCCTCTGAGGCTAGAACAAGAAGCAATGGGCTTAAATTGCAGCAAGGGAGGTTTAGGTTGGACATTAGGAAAAACTTCCTGCCTGTCAGGGTGGTGAAACACTGGTATAAACTGTCTAGGGAAGTTGTGGGATCTCCATCTCTGGAGATATTTAAGAGTAGGTTGGATAGACATCTATCAGGGATGGTCTAGATCGTGCATGGTCCTGTCGTGAGGGCAGAGGACGGGACTTGATGACCTCTCGAGGTCCCTTCGAGATCTCGTGTTCTGTGATTCTATGAAAATATGACTCAGAGAGGTGGCCATGTTAGTCTGCAACTTTAAAAACAATGAAAAGGCCCGTGGCACCTTAGAAACCTTATAGGATCATGAGCTATCATGGATAAAACCCTCAGATAAATTCATGGGACTTTTCAGTTTAGAAAAGAGGAGACTGAGGGGGGATATGATAGAGGTATATAAAGTCATGAGTGGTGTGGAGAGGGCCGATAAAGAAAAGTTATTTATTAGTTCCCTAAATGGAAGAACTAGAGGACACCAAATGAAATTAATGGGTAGCAGGTTTAAAATGAATAAAAGAAAGTTCTCCTTCTCACCGTCAACTTGCTCTCCTCCCCACTGCAAACCCACATGCTCAACAGGGATCGATTTCTCCGTCCAGGACGCATACATACACCCTGCCTTCTTTGTGGTCTGGGGGTATCATCGGGCATTTCTTTTCACCGTGGTCATGCAAAAACGTGGGGTGTGTTCCACCTGCCGGATCGGTGCCAGCACTCCCCCGAAGGAGACGTCCCTGTGCCCTATTGTCCATTCTCCTCCAAGATGGGGGTCACAGCCGAACCCCCTGCTTCTCCCCCATCAGGATCCTCCTCAGGGCTGCCTTCATCTCCTTGTTCCTCAGGCTGTAGATCAGCGGGTTGAGCAGCGGGGTCCCCACCACGTAGACCAGTGTCACCACCTTCCCGCTGGCCCCCGCCGCCGCCGGGATGACGTAGTTGGCCGCGCCGGCTCCGTAAAACAGGCCCACGATGACCAGGTGGGAGGAGCAGGTGGAGAAGGCCTTGCGTCGCTCGGGCCATGTGGGCAGCCGCATCACGGCCTTGAGGATCCGCCCGTAGGAGGTCAGGGTGAGGAGGAAGGTGGTGAAGATCAGGAGGGAGCTTGTGGCAGAACAGACCTGTTCCGTCCGGGGATCTGGGGTGCACGAGGCTGCAAGCAACGGGCCTGGGTCACAGACAATATGGTCCAGGGTGTAGGGGCTGCAGAAGGAGAGCCGGGAGATGAGGACGATGGGCGTTATAAGACACAGGAAGCCGGTGAGCCAGCAAGAGGAGGCCAGCACCCAGCATCGGCGTAGGGACATGAGGACAGGGTAGCGTAGAGGGTGGCAGATGGCCAGGTACCTGTCCCAGGCCATGGCTGCGAGAAGGAGGCATTCGATGGCCCCCATCGAGATGAAGAAGTAGACCTGCACGAAGCAGGCGTGGAAGGAGATGGGGAGGCCGGGGGACAGCAAATCGCAGAGCATCCGTGGCACCGTGGTGGTGATGTAGCACACCTCCAGCCAGGAGAAGTTCCCCAGCAGGATGTACATGGGCAGGCGCTGGAGGCGGGGGTCCCGCAGCACGGCCCACACGATGCAGAGGTTGCCGGCTAGTGTCCCGGCGTACGCCGAGGAAAGAAAGACCGAGGTGAGCGCACGGCTCTGGCGGTCCAAGGTGGTGAAACCCAGCAGGATAAACTTGGTCCCTGGGGTGGTGATGTTGGCCAGATTTTTCGGAGGGCCCTGGAGTCAAAAGAAAACGATCAACAGGACTCCAAGTGGCCACCCAGAGCTGCGGAAGGGGAGGAGGGTCATAAGAACATAAGAACAGCCAGAGTGGGTCAGATCAAAGGTCCATTCAGCCCAATCTTCTGTCTGTTGACAGTGGCCAACCCCAAGTGCCCCAGAGGGACTGAACTGACCAGGTAATGATCAAACAGAGGCTAGGGACAACATTCCTTACCCATCCTGGCTAATAGCCATTAATGGACTTAATGAATCTCTCTAGTTCTCTTTTAAACCCAGTGATAGTCCTAGCCTTCACCGCCTCCTCTGGCAAGGAGTTCCGCAGGTTGACTGCACTGTGTGAAGAAGAATTTACTTTTATTTGTTTTAAACCTGCTGCCCGTTCATTTCATTGGTGGCTCCTAGTTCTTATATTAAGGAAAAGTTATTTGCTTGTTCCCATATTCACTATCTCCACACCATTCATGGTTTTATAGGCCTCTATCCTATCCCCCCTCAGTCTCCTCTTTTCCAAGATGAAAAGTCCCAGTCTCTTTAATCTCTCCTCATATGGGACCTGTTCCAAACTCCTCCTCATTTTAGTTGCCCTTCCCGGAACCTTTTCCAATGCCAAGATATCTTTTTTGAGATGAGGTGACCACGTCTGTACTCAGTATTCAAGATGTGGGCGTACTATGGATTTATTAAGGGCAATAAGATATTCTATTGGTCTAGTGGTTACAGTAGTATGGGCACCCAGGCAAAGTCAGCCTCTCACATTCTTGTACATGCCACATTGCGAATTCTGCCTGGAATCTGACGCCCCAGCTGGGTTTATTCTGCCCTTGAAAACTCTGCATTGGATAAAGTTCCCACACTGGATGCAATCAGTCCACTAGCCTGGTTGGGGAATGAATGCTTTGCTCTTGCTTCCACTGGTGGCATGGCAGAGGCTGAACGGGCCGAGTTAATAGCCCCTCCTCCCTGTTCTTCAAGGCTAATGTTAAATTAACCAGGCTAGGGCTGTGACTTTTGGTACCTAGAGTTTCCCTCGTGTGCGAAGAACTCTTGAACATCAGCCTTAATAGTCCAGCAAACTCCTCGGACAGCTCTTTTAAAACTCTTGGAAGCAAACTTATCCACACCGATGACATTTAAAATATAGAGCTTAGCACAGGAGTGGCAGATGTCCAGGTACTTTCCAAAGCCAGGGCCAAGAAGAAAAGGCATTCAGTGGTCCTGACAGATAAGAAAAGTAGAAGAGAACTCAAGTAGAAAAGTAGAACTCAGGGAGGGAGAGGCGGACACTCAAGAATACCAGATCACAGAGCCTCTGTGGCCCTGTGGTTGTAACTGATCCTAAATCCCTTTGGGAAGTGGGATTAGACTTCTATGCCAATAAAGCCCCTTGGCAAAATTTATTCCAAGCTTTCTCCCTAAAGAGTCACCCAGAAATGAATCTAAAAGACTTTTTAAAATTCCTCACCTTGAATTCGTCCAGAGCTAAGGACACCATCAGTCACGGAATGGCCTTAAAGATTCAGAAGAAGGAAAATCTAGAGTGAATCGAGAAAAATTTATATTAATATGCCAACATGGTTAAACTCCGAGGCTGTTACTCATGAAATGAATGTATAGCATCAACCGACAATAATGTTATTGATGGATAATGTTGGTATTTATCATTGACCCTCATACCAGACTTCATTCTGTTAGGAGCAGCGCAAACACAGAAGAAAAATTAAGTCTCTTCCCCAGACATTTTAAGCACTCTTATTTTCCAAATCAATTAAACTGGCAAATTAAGACACAGTTTATATTAATGTTGAGACTCCAAATGTGCCTATAGACTACTTTAATCTCCACATTTGATTAAAAGAAACATGATTTATAATTTTGATTTTCAAATCTCGAGTCCTATTTAATTCAAATAATTCAGTAATAATATCTGATATTAATTGTTACCTCCTATTTCAATAATCAATAAATGACAACGTATTTCATGAATTGCCATTTTGATTAATTTAAGAAATTAAAACCTGATATCGTAATCATTCCTCCTTGATTCTAAGACTATACTTTATTGATTTCACATGGTAAAGTAATATTTCGTTATGTTAATTTCTAGATTTGATTAAAACATTATAGCAATAAGTATATTTGGTGTTGATTTCCAGATTCATTAAAAATCTTGCATTAATAATATAGGATATGAACTCTGATGATCATTAACACACTAAGATCTGGTCTACACCAGGGAGTTATTTTGAAATATTTTCCTAATGTGGACATGCCTTTACTGCAGATGTATTGTTCGTTCTCGTTAAACAATGACATCTGGGCACACGTATCAGCAATTTTTTCTTAAACTACCAGGTTATTTCTTAAACTACTGATTAAAATAGTAATAATCAGATATGGCATTTTGCTGTCATGGTTAAAATGTTAAACTGATATATGTATATAAATGTCTAGCTTTTATGAAAAAAAAATAAGATTTGCATATACGTTTATATTTGTTGAAACTATTACATTTGTAATTCTACATTTTTAACCTGCAGCACCAATTAAAATATGGAGGCCATCAAGTATCCCCATTCATACTATTTGCATAAGAATTAAACTTGTGAATGAAGTTGAGTTCCAATCATTCTCTGTGTATTTGGCTTGTGGAATTGGTCTGAAACAAAAGGGCGACTTGGAGATCCATTAATGAGTGTTCAGGGAGATTAAAGTGTTCTCCGACCGGTTTTTGTGTGTTGCCTTTTCGGATATCTGATTTGTGTCCATTCATTCTTTCCCTCAGAGACTATCCAGTTTGGCCAATACCCACAGCAGTGGGGCATTGCTGGCATTTGATGGCACTTACTTTTCAGTTTATCTAGCAAAC